AAAAAAAAAAAAAAAAAAAAAAAAAAAATGCTCAAGAGGCTGTTGGGAAAAAGGAACCTTCTCTTCTGTTGTGGGGAGTGCAGACTGGTACAACCACTATGGGAATCAGTGTGGAAGTTCTTGAAAAAGCTAGGATTGGAGGTCCCACTCAATCCAGCTATTTACCTCCTGAGTATTTTTCCAAAAGAACTGAAAACATGAAACTACAGCAATATATATGCACCCATGTTTATAGCAACACAATTTGTCACTGCTAAATCTTGGAAACAACCCAAATGCCCATCAACTGAGGAATGGATAAAAAATATGTGGTATTTTTACACAATAGAATATTACTCTACTATAAAAAAAAAATAAATTTGAGGATTATATAGGTAAATGGACGCAACTAGAGACTGTACTGGTAAATGAAATAACAGTGCAAACACTGTATTATCTCGCTAGTGTGATAATCTGAAAGAGTAAATAAAATCTAAGTGCTACAATAGATACTGTGAAATGAAAAGAATCTATTCAAAGGGAAGGAAAAATGAGATGAGGAAAAGGGCAAAAGAAAGAAGGGGGAAAGATATATTTATGTATATATGTAGGATAGCCTGGATAATTGTATTACTAATTTCTGCTGGCCTACTGAAAAGAGCAGTTAATGGTTTATTTTTTAATTTCTTTAAATCCTTTGCCCTTGTGCTTGCCAGACAAGCACTTATTCTACTGCACCACCTCCCCGGCCCCCTTATTTTCTAATTTCTTATAACTTTTTATTTTTAATCAATTTTGCACGTTTAGATATGGTAACCTAAAAACTAATTTGAAGATAACATGCAATACAACAACCAGTGTCTAATTCCTATTACTTTGTTTAATGAAATTTTATATCATTTCTAATTTTTTCTTTAGCATTCTGTATTCTTTTTTTTTTTTTTTTCATTTGTATATCTGGTACAGGGTCTCACTACACAGATCGGACTCATGATGATCTTCCTGTTTTCATCCTCCCCAGTGAGGGGATTACAGGCACGCATTACAACGCCCAGACTCTGTCACTGGCTCAGCATACCCTGGGGATGGGCATGCAGAACCAGGGATAGAACTCTGGTCCCTGAGCTTGCCAAAGCAGGTACTTAGTCTGTTGAGCTATCTCATCGGCCCAGATTCTGTATTCTTTAAAAAAAAAAAACAAAAAACCTTAAAAGAGTCTTAATCTAAATTTATTAAAATTTGCCTACAACCACCAAGATGGCAATCCTTAGAGATGAATATGCTAAAAAATAAAATATCTAAATAAAAAATTGTTTAACTAGCTATTCTTTTTATAATTTTATTTTTTAATTTTAATTTTTATTGGTATGTGTGTATAATACATAATGACCTCATTCTTCATGGAGAGTTTATAACTGTACAGAAAATATCTTAATATGTTAATATTTTTTCATTGCTTTCTTCTCCTATTCTCTTCCTAAGTCTCTTGGTTCCATCCCCTTTTAGAAAAGATCTCCTATTTTCTATTATCTATCTTTATTATGTTCTTTATTTATATTTTAGGTTTCTTATATAAGACAAATGATGAGATATTTAAGTTTTTGTGTTTTGAGTTACTGAAAATATAGAGTACTTAATGAATGTAGGGGTCACTATTGTGCAAGGGCCATGCTACTTCTCTGTGTCATTCCAATTTTAGCATATGCGCTGCCAAAGTGAGTGCTAGCAAACTATTTTTTTAGTATAAATTTTTGTGTTGCAAAAATTGTGTTGCAAAAAAAAACTAACCATTCCTACTACTGTGAAATTAATCTTCTCAATTAGAAAATTTTTAAATAAAAATGATTATGGGAAAAGAGATTCTATAATAGAGTGCTTATTGTTTAGTTTGTGTGAAGACTGAAATCTAGAAAAGAAAAAATGGAAAAGGAACAACTACTTTTTAATGTTAAGATATCTTTAGCACTTTTTCTTTATTATTATTCAGCAAATAATCTTAATAAGTATTTCACAGAAATATCTTAAATCAAGATCTGAGAACTTAATTCCATTATGATGCTCTTCTGGAGTTTAAATGAAAAGCTTTGGTCAATTAAGCAAAATGAAACACAACTTTACATAGTCAGTACCAGGTAAATTTTCTATTGGCACTTTTTAAATTCTAGACTCCAGCACAGTATAACACTGAGTATTAATTTTGTCATCTTTCAAAACAAAAAAAATGCTCTCTCCACATTCCTATTTAGATATGCCTGCCCAGTAATTGTTTGCTAGAAATCCTTAGTAAATCTAACAATATTCTAATACTATATTCTAGTTTTAGTTTTCCTAAGTTACCTGATGAGCTTCCATAAAATGTTTAAAAAAGGGTAAGTTTGACTCCATAGTATTATGTCAGAAAAAAGAAAAGACAATTTCGCACCTTGAAAGAAATCTTTGAAGCCAACAATCTTATTCAAATGCAGTAACTGGAGCATCCCAACTTTCCCTTAGATGATAAATCAACTCAAATATAGAAGCTTAATGGGTAAACTTTATAAACTGTATTTCTATTAATGCCTATTAAGTTTATGAAATTCTATGTTTCAATGTACATGCACATAGTATCACATCTACTCCTCCAATTCCCCTCCCTCACACCCTCCTTCCCCCTATTCTTATTTCCTTCCTCTTGTGTAATACTTTCCTTCCAATCAACAGTAGAACTTTAAAACTGGATTTAAGAAACAGTATATGCAATATTTTAAAAACCTAAGATTGCTGATAATGATAAAACTTAGTTGAATAATAGTGTTTCTTACTTAGCTGTTCTGGTTTGTGTATAGGTGTCCCCCCAAAGCCTCATGTAGTCTTGAGGCTGGCTGCTGGAGTTTGTGGTTGATTATTGTGGGTATGGATGCTACACCAGCCCTGGGGCAGGTAATTTGATTATAATGTAAGGTCGGAAGAGAAGCTAGCTGCTTGAGCTGCTGCTACCCCTCCCCTGCTTTCTTGCTCTTTGCTGCCACCATAAAAGGTTGCTTTCTGCTATGTGCTGCTCTGCCTTGGACACAGCTGAATATGGACTGAAACTTCCAGTAACTGTGAGCTAAATAAACCTCTCCTTCCTTCATTTTGGGTATCGGGTATTTGTTCCAGCAACGAGAGAAGAGTAACTAAGACATTAGCCATAATAATCACTTGATTAGTAGTTGTTTCTGTCAACAAAATGTAGCATACTGTACATCTGACAGAAACCAAAATTCAGTTTTCTGTCTCTAGCCTGTTTTAAGGAAATGTTAAATACCCATAAAAAAGCCTTAAAACATATTACATAGAATCACATATATAAAAGATTACTTCAAACCCATTATGGATTCTATATTATCACAAAACAAGTCACTCTTTCCTAGGAAATCTGCCTCCAACAGTGACTCCCATTTCAATATCTGAGAACACAGTAGGAAAGTCTATTTAGTAACCAGAAGCATTTCACCTCTGACCCTGTTTTGACACAAAACAAAATGGTATCCACACCTATAATATTCTAAAAGTGACTCCCATACTCATTCTGATGTGAAATGCTATAATTGTAAGTACTAAAGAAGTATGTTCTGAATATCCACAGAATTATCTTTTAATTATTTACAACAGGTAAATGGATACGGGGTTAAAAAAAAAAAAAAAAAAAAAAAGCATGCATCAACCATAGCTGACAAATCTGCCAACATGCAAGAAGATGCAGGAGAACCACAGTCAAGACTCACACTGGACAGAAGGCTAAGCACAAACTGCTGCAGGACATTGCAAGAACACACGGTGTTCTTCCAAAGCAAAATTCAATGTATCTCAGGCAATTTTTATTAAAAAAAAGAAAAACTTTGAAAATACTTTAGGCAAAAAGCTTAACCAACCTTAAATGTAATTGTGTGTCAATTAAGTAAAATATAGGGCAAGACTTTCATTGCTTAGCTCCTCACTTTCCACTTCAAATGAAGTTTGCTCACATTTGTGGTAATTATAAAAATGGACAATTCTCACTTAAAAGGATTTAAATGGGAAAATCTGACAATCTACTACTCCATAACCCAACCATTCATTGATAAATTATTTATTCAATGTGTGCTACTTGCCAATCGTATGCTGGATACTGGGTGATATACAGAAAATATTTCTCAAAAAGACAGCTGAACTAGTAAAGAGGAGGAGATAAAAGAACTGTTACACAATGGCCAGAAGTATAGCTCAGCAGCATAAGCACCTGCCTGGCAAGCGCTAGGTCCTCAGTTTTATCCCTGGTACCACAATAAATAAATAAATAAATAAATAAATAAAGTAATAAAAAGAAAGCTAAGAACACAAAGCTATTACACAAAGCTAAGAACATAGTATTGTTTCTGTCATTCCACCACCTTTTCTTCTCCTCATCCTAACCACTCCAATCAATTGTAATAACAGACCAGAATTCTGGTGCTTCATATAGCATCAAGACTACTGTTTTGTTTCTTTGTCCTAGTAAACACTCCAATAATAAAGCTAATAGGACCCATTTTTACTCCCATTGTGGGGAATAAATAAACATGTAAAATGAAGAAAGTCTACAAACCACCAAATTAATTGCTAATCTTAAGGTAGCTAATGACACAAAAATAATTAGTAAAGCAATGTTTATGTCTTTATCCTGGCCACACCTGCCCTTAAAAAACATGTGTATGGCATTGGACTTTTTAAAAAAGGCAGCACTATAAAATGAATAAAATGCAAGTTAATAGAAAAAGCAACAAAAAAGTTTTGTTTATTAGAATTCCCATCCAATAACCAAACCTTTTTGAATAAATTCAAAACTCTAAGCAGCAATTCTCAATATGTACTCTAAAGATCTCGAGGGTCTTAGGACCCTTTGAGAGGATCTGTAAGGTACTTCCTTTTCTAAATGTACCTGTGTAGAGCAGATTTTCTTCATATATTTCAACTAAAACATGTGACAACAGACTGCAAAAACAGGCACTAAAACTCAGCTGTCTTATATTACACCAAACATTGCAATAAACAAAATTATAAAATAAATCCATTCTTCCCACCAGATTTTGTTTTGGAAAATATGAGTGTACTTCATAAAAGTATTTATGCTAACATGTAATAAGTTGATAACTTATTTTTAATAAATCCAACATTTTTATATTTTTCATTTTAATTACTACTACAATAAGTAGCAATATTAGAACCCACATAAATACAGTTGTTTTCACATTACCAATAAAAGTGTAAAGAATTTTTAGAGATGAAAAAGCATGAAAGCTACATAGTGCCTATAGCTTATACAAATAAAAATAGAATACTGCCACCTAGTGGCAAAGACCTCATGGTGCTAAGTATACAAAGAAACAGCCTACAGAGATTTAATAAATATCATATTTGAACTGGAAATATTTTTAAGCCACTTTCCAAAACATACATCAAAATTGATTCTATTAATAAACTATGATCTGACCTTCAAAAATTTACAAATATATCTAAATTCTCATACATTCTTTACATACAAATTTATGAAAAACCTTGAAAACACAAGGCTAATCTTGGAAAACATTGTGCTAAGGCTAATTGCATTTAACTAAACTCGAGATATAACCCCCACACCAAAGAAATATATTCTTCCAGTTGTTAATGCTTTCTGTGAAAATGCCAATGTCAGAAACATAAATAAATTAAATTTAAAATCCATTTAAAATAACAATTTTTTCCATTGGATACTCATTTAGTACCGAAATATGTACTATTACTTATGTAACAGCACACTTAAAATCTACTTTTATTCATACTCTTATTATAATTGTTTTTGCCTGAGAAACATGGAATTTTCTTTTTGAAGCTTTTTCTAAGTACCCATGAGAAGTGGGGGGAAAGCCCTTACCCCAGTCCTGTTCATACAAGGCTTGGGAAAGGCACCATGATTCACTTATTGGCATGTGTGGATGCACAAAAATAAGATGTTTTGTGAGACTTAAAACTCCAAGAAAACTGTTACGTAAATTATCAGCAGCTAACAAAGCATTTAAATACACATGTGATTTTGGCTTGTATAAAACGCGTAAATCTTAGACATTTAAACACAAACTATTTTAAAGATCCTTCAAACATCAATTATGATCTCCTGGATGTCTTTGGTATATAAGACTTATACTATAAAAAGAAATATAAAGCTTATTTCCTGCACAAACACAGCATGACAATAAAAAAGCAAGGAATGTTATGAGTTAATCTAAGTTTTTAAATGCAGCCAACCATATAAAACACGTTAACTTTAGCGGAAACAAAATATGGGAAAGAAAAACAGCATTTATGAAAGTTAGTACACTCTGGAAACTTTCTTAATCCAAGCATAATACTTTATTCATTCTGTGTAAGTACAGGCAAGAATTTTTTTTTTTTTTTTTAATACCAGGAATCAAACTAAAGACCTTGTGCTTACCAAGGAGACACTTGTGCCGCTGAGCTATATCCCCAATCCAGAAACATTTTTAAAGGAGAGGGGCTTAACATTGCAGTATGGGTTTGGTTTTGTTTGTTTTGTTGTTGTTGCTGCTGGTGGTGGTGGTGATGGTGGCGGTGGCCGTGTTTTGTAATGACTATAACTACCAACAGAAACCAAAAGAAAAAAACTAAAAGTCTCTGTAAGGTCAAGAATTTACCTTGAGCTACACATGATGACACAGGCCTGCAATCTGTCTTTTGGGAAGCTAAAGCAAAGGAATTGAAAGTTTGAGCTCAGCCTAGACAACTTAGCAAGACCCTTTTACTGAAGGGAAATTCTCTTAGGTTTAAGGAGAATACTTTAGTAGGGTCCCTAACCACTTTATCCATAAAAAATCTGCAATGAGATGAAGAAAATTTTAATACAGATAGTACCAACCAACTACTTCTCATCTAGACCAATTTCCCTCCTTAATACCTCATAATCTGGTTTATAAAATTATTTCTCAAAACTGTATTCTGGAGTCCTCATCCTGCCTTCTCTAACACCTCTTATGTCCCTGTCCCCAAATAAATATTCATAATTCCTATGACTTCTTGTGTGATTTTTTTTTTCTCATTTATTTATGCCTACCAAACTCAATACCTGTATGGTGAAGAACAGACTCCGGAACCTCAATTCCTGGATTAAAATCCTGACTACATAACACTCTGCACATGAACACAGACTAATTATTTGTTCTTAGATCTTATTTGGAAAATGAGAATACTAGAACTATTTCATAGAATTATAAGGATTAAATACAAGTAAAGCACTTTTAACAAAGAGTAAAGTAAGTGCAGGCCAGCAGTAAGGTTAACAGTGGCTACAGCAACAGAAGCAAGGGCCAAGTGTAGTGACTGCTATCAATCCTTACAGTGAGTGCTAATATAAAACTTTTACATAAAATCAGCTTTTCCTAGATTTACAGAAATCAATTCCAGCTTAATAACTACTAAAAGATGTTTCAGTTTCTTAATTTCAAATGCCTACGGTCAATTCCATTTGAAAAGCTCTGCTTATCTCAAAGTACCTCAACAAATTCATCATCTGATTCCAATATTTAACTTTCCCATTTAGATTCCTAGTCTAACTCCATTCTATTAATCAGTCTTCTGAGATGAAAACTTTGGGTCATCACACATTTCTGTTTTTCTCCTTCAAGTTGATCAGTGCTGAATTCTATAGCTTCTACCTTTCCCCTCCTTCTCAGAACCACCGCCCTAACGAAAGCAGCCAAAATTCTAAGCCCCTCAAACCTGGATTTCTACCTTTGCTTCCAAGTTTGACTCCCTGCTTCATTTTTTTTCTACCTAAAGTAGCTTCTATCACATTATGCTTTCCTATTACTGGTTTCCTATTGTCTTATATATGGAAGTCCAAATGCAGCTACTCACCTTTTAAGATTCTAACAGTCCTTTCAATTCCAATTTCATTTCCCACTTTAGCAAAAATGATTCCCAACTGATTCACATAAACTCTATGATGACTGTGCCTTATTACGTCTTATAGCAACTAAAATATGTCCCATCCCTGCCTCTGTTTCAGACTACCCTACTCATTATCTGAGGCCCAACTCAAAATTTGACACAAGCTTTCTGATCTGAACACACTGTTCACTGTGCTCACTCCTCTTTCTAACATGTCTCCTTTTCTAGAATTACTCAACACAACGCTGCACCTTGCTGAATTCTACACCACAATACATTACACTACGCTGGTCTCCTAATTTTTACAGATTGGCATTTATTGTATGAAAATGCAATGCTATGACATATTACATATGACAATGAATTGTTCATTATTCCTTTTTGAAGTATACTATATTTTATGCTGTTATTTACTAAGCACTGTACCATACATATTAAGTTCCTAAATGCTAATCTTGAGTTTCATACTCTAAGGCCATAGTAATTATTTTCTACAAAGGGCAAGATGTTAATATTTTGTTTTATACCTTGCAGGCTCTCTCTTTTTTGAACCATTTAAAAACATAAAAGTCACATTTAGCTTAAGGGCTGCACATAAACCCAACTACAGGCTAGACTGAAACCACAGACCATAGTGTGCTTACCCCTACATTCTCTAATGAGCAGTTTGCTGTCCTGTAAAAGTATCTACAGTTAAGCAATTTTATCACCAATATTTAATTTTCAGAAAATTGGTAAAACACTTTAAAAGACTTTTGACCTCCATCACAAGACAAGTAACTCCTGAGTTCTTACCAGCTCTTTCAGACTTTTCTTTCTGTTCTCGTAATTCTTCTCCCTGGGTGGTCATCTGTTTGATGTGACTACGAAGTTGAGCAATTTCTTCTTCTTTCAGTTCCAATGTTTCATGCATCTGACGTTTTGTCTCTGCTATTACCATTCCCTGAACAGAAGTGCAGACTCTAAAGCATTTGTATAACAAAACTGCAACATCAATAATATAGCCTAAACTTAATTCAAAAGGCATAAAAATATTTCTATGTCAGTACATAAGAATTATTTCAGTGTTTCATGAATTACAGTTTATGTCTGGCTCTATGCCTTAGTTATCTGGCATGGTACCGGGATATTTTCAATGTAAAATTTACTTTAATAGTAACTTTAATCTTTCAAGCATTAAAACATTTTAGTTGAAATATTTATAACTTTTCTGTAATTGTGCTGTAATTTTCAACATTTTAATAATCAGTTTTCAATGAACAAAATATACCTTCTGAACTTGGCCCAGAATCATAATGAACTAAAAGTATTCAGCCAGCCTGTAACATGCAGGTAATCCCAGAGACTGCTCAAAGGGTATGGTTCCTGCTGCCACAGTAGATGGAGCAGGACTGCAGGATGGATCTACCTGGTTTTTCTCTTTCATCCTGTGACTGTCTGTAGTCCCACCACTACTCCTTATTACTGTCAGTAAGGCACCCCATTCCTTCAATTTGCTAGATGCTTCTGTTCCCCCTCTGTGGATAATCTACACTAGAATGAAGGCCACTAAGGGAAAAGAGATAACCAAATTATGATATAATAAATCAATAATTTGGGATTAACAAAAAAAGTAGTGAAATTATTTCTTGAAAATGTGTTCAGATTTTGCAACAGCTATTTTATAATCTTAAAATATAATTACTTTAGTTTGCTGAGCCTTGCTTTACTGATAGACTCTTCCAGGTAGCTAATTATAATAGAAAAACCACAACTAAGTCAAGGAAACAATGTTAATAAAAACTTTCAAAATAAAATCTTGAGCCTCTGTTTCTTTAAACACCAAATCACAATTTAAAAAAAGAGTGAGAACACTTGAATCAATGGATTAAAAGAAGTCTTAAGAGTAAGATCCATTAGGGGCCGGGGAGATGGCTTAATGGAATAAGCACTTGCCTGGTAAACACAAGGGCCTGAGTTCAATCCCCGGTTCCACAAAAAAAAAAAAAAGAGTAAGATCCATCAACTGCAATGAAAGAAATTTGTTTGGATCATGAATCATAAAAACAAATGAAGAGAAATCTGAAACTAGATATCAAATTATACAAAGAAAAAAATTTTTTATTGGATATAGGGTCTCACTATGCAGTTCAGACTCATAGTGATTCTCCTGTCTCAGCTTCTCTGTGCTGGGATTACAGGCATGCACCACCATGCCCAGTTTTGGGACCATCATGGCATGCCCAGGGTTCCAGGGCTGGCACAGCGTGTGGTACGGGGGATCGAACTTGGATCCTTGAGCTTGCCACGCAGGTGCTTAGACAGCGGAGCTATCTCTCCAGCACAAGAAATTTTTATTAAACTGTTAGATGCAATCATGATAATGTGGTTATGTTTATAAAAATGGTATGGGTTGTTTCAAAGACATATAAAATACCATACTATAATGCAGCTTTTTTTTTTTTTTTTTTTTTTTTTTTTTTTAAACAGGGTTTGAACTCAGACCTTTGCTCCCCAGACCCTATAATGCGGCATTTTAAAGGAAATGACCAGTGGTATAGAACAAAATCGGAGCTCCTTTTTAAATGGACCCAAGAACCTGGAGTTACAAGACAGGTCAATACTGCTGCTCCAACTCCAAACTGCCAAAGATAAGACATCCTCTTCTCAATCCTTCAGTCTCCCATATACTCTAAAATCCATTTGTAGAAATTTTTGCATCTGTTAATATATGCATTATCACTTATTTATTTTCCAGGCAACTTCTGTGAGAAATTAATCTGCTCCCCATAATATTGAAAAGAATATACCAAAATCATTCACATTTAGAATGCTTTCACTATAAATAATACAAATTTTCTCTGAAAAGTAGGTATATACTGTAAACATAGATTTCCTTGGCAAAAGTTACTGAAATTAAAATGCAATTGAAATCAAGAAATTATGGATAGAGAATCAGCTTCATATGATATAAAACTAATGCTAGTAGTTAAATCTAGAAATCAAAGACTTTTCCTAGAAACAGCTGCAATAATTTGGAAAAGCAGGACTACAAATGCTTCCAACTGCTTTCAAAAGTGAACTTTGGGACTCCCTGACAAATTTTAGTATCATAAGTTTGTTATTTTACCTTATCTTGTTCAAGCTGTTCAATTAAGTTCTTCGCATCACGCAACTGAGTGATAAGTTTAGTCTTCTCAGCCATATGAAGCTCCTAAAAGATTTGAAAAATTCATTTCCATTTCTCCACATATAAAAACTCAAACATCTAATCTAGATATATCTTATAGTCTAGTGGGAGAAAAGTTCACAGGAAATCTAGTGGGAGAAAATACTAAACTGGGAAGTTCTCAGAAGTAAAATAAATGATATGAAGCCCAAGGTACTTTATGCCTAAGAAAGATATTCTGTCCATCTTGTCCATGGAGAATGAAAGACGGCTTTTCTCAGAAGTGGTACAGGCTACTCTGGAGCCTGTAAATCTATAGCATCAAACAGAACAAAACTCATTTGCTTTTCTTACCTTCATCTTTTCTAATTCTTGAAGTCTTTCATCAAGTTGTTCTTGTAGTGCTTCTTTTTCACTGGTTAATAGTGTACACTGTTCCTTATGTGACTGAATTGTTTCTTTGCAACGCTGAAGTAGATTTTCTTGACGCTTAATTCTCTGCTGAAGTGTTTCCAGTGTTTTAGCAGAAACTGTCCCATTATCAATAAAGTACCATAAGCAGATCAATCAGTGAGGAACATAATTCAAGTAAGTATGAATCTGTTAACTAGAACTGAGAGCTTTGCGCATGCTAGGACACCCTCTCCCACTGACCTATACTCCCAGCCCCAAGAGAGAGACAGAGAGAGTGAGTTCATTTTTTGGGTAGGGGGCTACTAGAAATTGAATCCAGGGCCTTCATATTGAGATCCAGCCTCAATCCACTTTTCACTATTTTGTTGTAGAGTCTGCTAAATTGTCCAGGCAAGATTTGGACTTGCAATCCTCCTGCCTTATCCCTCAAAGTGCTGGGATTAAAGGCATGTGCCACTGTGCCTCGTACTTGGTTATAGTCTGAGCCAGACCAAAGATAGAGGGAACAACTCTGGTAGCTAATAATGGGAGGGTCTTCCAAATTTCTATTCTTAGTTAATACTCATTTAATATTTTGCTGAAAATCCTTAATAATGCATTCACCTCTTTGGTGGTTCAACCCAATCCTGAATGGCATAATAATTAGCTAACATTAATTGAATTTACCTTTAAAGATAAAGTCACTTTTTATTATTGAAAATTATCCACTTTGCCAGTGGTGTTTGGCTATAAGTCCAGCACTCAAGAAGAAGCAGGAGGATCACCTTGAGTTCAAGGCCAGCCTGGAGTACTGAGCTCAAGGCCAACCCAAACTATATAGTGAGACCCTGTCTCCAAAAAAAACAAAAATATTTTTAATCTTGTCTTAACTCTGATCTAGAAGATTCATTCTTCCCAACTGCTTTCTAATCTCTTCCTAAGAAAAGTTCTGAGAAGTATAGCTTTCTGCATCTCTCCACAGTTGAGTGAACTTCTCACATTCCAGGGCAGTTCAGGATCCCTTATAGGCTGCTCAGATAGCTAGCTGCTCAGCAATTTATTCCACCTCTGACTGGACCAAGTTTATTGTAAGTCTCTCTGAGAAAAAAGTGTAGGAAATACAAGTGGAAACTTTCCTGAATATGTACCTCAACAATAAAACATAGGGCAATATTAAATTTTAAGATAAAATTTGGCTATTTATTATTTTCTAGTTAAAAAACTAGATAACTGAATAATTATAATTAGCATGGTCAGGAGTCTACATGCCCATAATCCCCCCCAAAAAATTACAATTAGCATATTTATTGTTTTCAATTTTATTTTTTGTGTGTGTGGTACTGGAGATTGAACTCCAAGCCTTGTGCTTGCCAGGCAGGCACTTATGCTGCTGAGCTATTGCCCCAACCCAGTATATTTATTAACACTGAGCAAAACTGACCTGTTTATATCAAACCTAACTACTGTCATCAAAAAAAGTATAATAGGGGTGGGGGAGATGGCTCAGTAGAATACTCTCCATCTCCCCGGCCCTCTTTTCAATTTTTTAAGTTAAACTTTTGACACAAAGAAGCTTACCTACTGGCTCTATACTATCCTCTACATGCTCTTCTTTAGTGAAAGCTTCGCCTTGTGGTTCTGTCTGAGGAAGTGGCTTCAGTACATCAGCATTCATTGGACCATTTTGTAATCGCTGTTTCAGGAGTGAAACCTAGAGAAGAGTATTTCATTTAGGGAAAGAAAAAAAAAAAAATGGCAGAAATACTCTTGTAAAAACATTAAGGACATTGAGTAAACAATATTGTTTTTACTATATAATGAGAAAAAAATTAAAAAGTTTTTTCCCAATGCAATTTATTTTTATATGTGCTATTATTAGTGATATAGTAAAAAGATACAATAAACCAAAAGTTATCCTCAAAACTCATGAAAAGTTCTTTTGTTTTTTGTTTTTAAATTACACCTCCCTTTACATGCACACGTGCGGGCGCGCACACACACACATGTATATTAATAATTCAGCCCATCAAAACTGCTTCATTTCTTCAACACAAAAATTCCATACTTTTACTCTCTTACCTGAGTTTGGAGAACACTGATATACTGATCTTTCTCTTCTAAAGACGCATCAAATTCCTCTTGAAGATGTTTTTTCGCTTGTTGGTCCATTTGAAGCTCCTAAACCAAAAGATTTTATAAATGATTTTCAACATAACAAATACAAACTAAAGTTTTCAACATTTAAAAACATAATTAATACAGATTTGTGTATCTTTTATAAGGTACCAACAAAAATAAAGAATAATCAGTATTGAAAATATTAAGCACCAACAAATAATCTTTTTCCTTAGTAAATACCATGTTAAGAAAAAAAATGTACATTTTCTGAAACTGTAATGATTGATAATAGTAATACAAACAGAAAAAAGATAAAACTGTGAAACATTATAATGCTGTGTTATCTTATAACTTGATCTAAAACTGTACCATAATGGCCCATATAGAAAGCCAATGGAAAAAATAAAAAGATGAAAGCCAATGGTTTTCTTCCTCCCAATACATGAAGCATCCATTATTCAAAAACTATATGCTTTCTCATCTGAAAAAGGATGAACCAGTTGATCATCAAACAAGAAAATTTCTAGTTCCTGAAATTACTTAAAATGCTTTCTTTGGGTCATTAATGGGTAGTCCTAAAATTCAATAATCTTTCTCTGAATCCCAACCCAATTATTACCACCTCAATGAAGGTATCTGCATTTCATGGCTTTGGGGTTTCTGGCTATATGCCTCTTTATCCTTCACTGCCTTCTATGTGTCCTTCTACTTCAGTCTTGGTTCTGTGTCTTCAGTGCTTCTCCCTTACACTTACTCCCTCAGAATTCTAGACACTGACAACATACTATATTGAAAAACCCTTCACTGTGCTGGGATTACTACCTCACTAATTCCCTAAACTAAAAATATTTAAAATACCTTTGTTGCTCCCTACATGTTATCAAATTATTTTATTACTTTCTCTATTTTTTTCCACAGTTGAAACCACAGTCCAAATCTAACTTTTGATAGTGAACTTCCATCAATAGCATTCTAGAGATATTTCTTACCTCAAGTCTTCCTTTGAATTCATTCCTCACACATTTGCTAGAATAATTCCCTTACAAATATTTTCAAGGACTTATAATCAGTTCCCTTTTCTTAAACTGTCTCAAATGTATTAATTTTCAAAACAGAGACGCACTATCTGGCACTTAATGTCTATTCTTCCCCACACCTATAATCTTCCAGTTTTCCTAATGCCATCAGTATGAAACATCACATGGGTTTCTAGCGATCTACTCAGATGCCCACTTCTTATTCAGCTGTATTTTCTTGAGCATATGTCCCTCAATGAAACGTTCTCAAAATGTAATGCCAAATCTCTAAAAAATACTCTCTGAATAAACATGCCTGTTCTGCATTACCATGTATATCTATCATTAGCTGTATGAAACATGGACAGTTCTTACCAAAAGAAAATAAAATTATCATTTTAATTTCTTTTTCTTTTTTTTCTTTTTCTTTTTTTTTTTTTTTGGTGTGTGTGTGTGGTACAGGTGACTGAACTCAGGATCTTGCACTTGCCAGGCAAGCACTTATTCTACTGAGCTATCTCCCCAGCCCTCATTTAATTTCTTACCAAAAGCAGATATCTATTGTTAACACACTTTATTCTCCAAATGGAAGATAATGAGCAAAAATATATAATAAGCAAAGATGCTAGCTCAACAGAAAAGAAAAAATCTCTGATGAAGAAATGCCACATTATCTGTTCCTCTAGCAAAAAGTAAAGGTGCATCAGTGACATTTTCATACAGTACAAACTACATTCTAGCTATATAAAGGTGGACAGGGGGCAACCTGTTACACTCTCACGTGGCACTTTTAATCGTATGCAATGCTTCCCTGAATACCAGCTGTCTTCCAAGACAAACTAGAAAAGTACGATCATAGGAAGACTACAGTAAAAGATTTCTTCTCTATTACTTTAGAAGTTAGTATTAATTCTTCTAAAGTACTAATCAAAATCAAGTTGTACAATTTTTCATTAAGGAAAGATGAAAGTATTTGTACAATAGAGGTCAATGCTTGATTCTGTAGACATAACAAAAAAAAAACTACCCTGGTTTTCAAAGTTAGAATGTTTTTAAAGGATTATTAGGAAATTGCGATAAATTATATAACTCTTTTGTATCATGACAAAAACAACAGGAAATGGGCTATATAAAAAACTAGAAATAATATTAAGTATAATAAACTAGAAGAGACTAGAAATCAAAAATGGTATCAATAAGAATAAAACATAATGTAACACAAGAAATTCCTATATAACTAAAAGTAATAGTTAAATCAGGCCACAGTAATAACAAAGGATAATCTGTGGAACAAAGTGGCTGGTCTTCATGACATTTCAACCATTCAAAACTATCATGTTTTGCTTCTCCTTTGCCTCATCTCACAAACATACTAGAATTGCTCAACTGCTATTTGTAGAATTTTTAATTTATCCAATCCTTTTTAAACTATGTGTACTTCTATATCTTTGATTGATAAATTCTATAATTATATAATTAGAATACATACAATTCTAAATTTACTTTGATTTCCTGTAATCCCAGTAATCCCACCTGTTTCAAACTCCCCCCAAGCCCTGTTTGGGAACTACAGTAATAAAAAGTAGCAAACCAAGACCAATGAAAAACATTCATAACAAAAACAAGTAACAAGACACTCCCCATAAACACCAAAATACAAATAAATGGAAAGAAGACACTAATATCAGTAAATATGCTATTGGGATCTGTATTGGATAAAATAGAGGAAACCAATGAAGTATCAGATAGACATGGAACAAAAGAACTAGAAAAAGGAAGCAAGAACTGACTGAGTGGCCTTGCCCACATGGATACTGAGTAGGTACATGTGACCAGCAGTGAGACAACAGCTCAATCGAATCTCTATTAAGAATTGCCCCCAAAAGTACAATGAATATAAAATTTATATTTTACAAAAAAGATTACTGGTTAGGAAAAGTAAAATAAAGCCTGAAATACAGTAGGGACATTTTAGCCCTGGAAGCTGCTGACTGTTCACATTGATAAGCCAATGTCTGTTGTCAAGACACCTTTATTTCATGACTTTCAACAATATTTACTTTCAAAGAGCCACATAAATAAAAGCTCTATGAGTGTAATCTGCAGTCTTGTAGAATGGACTGGTCAGTTACTCCTAGAATAAATTATGTGCATATAAAATTGTCATATTATTTTCAAAGTATTAATCACTAAAACTTACCTCTCTTAATTCTCCAATTCTACGAAGTGCTTTATCCTGACTCTGACTTAATATACCCTTTAAAAAAAAAATAGGTGATTAAAAATCTTCTTAGAACAATGCAAAACAAATTTAAAAATAATTATTTAGTAATACTATAACTGATTATCCAAATAACCTGAAGAGAGAGAAGAGGACTGAATATGTTAAGGATGTGACCATGTTGAGATTCTATTGAAAGTTAATTCATGATGCTACAAAAACCCTCTATATTCTGTCTATGAGTGTGGGCATATAACTGACTATATATTTATTAAAACACACAGACATCTTGGCATGGTGGTATATACCTATAATCCCAGACAATTGGGAGAACTGCAAGTTCAGGCCAGCCTAAGTAACTTAATGAGACCCTGTCTCAACAAGTAAAAATGCTGGGGATACAGCTCAGTGGTAGAGTGTCTGCCTCCCATATGTGAGGCTTGGGGAGGGGGGTGGAAATCACCACTACCTCGGGGGGGTGGGGGGGGAAAGGCATTATCTGGGATTACAGCTGTTTCTGATCAGAGGAATGTGACCTGGGTTGTTTTTAGAGGACTAAAAAGTGACTAAATCAAAAGCAAAGTCTTTTTCCTTTTTTCCTTAAAGCCATGAACACAGATTTTGTTTGATTTCAAATACAAAGTTTTAAATGTATAAAGATGCATGCTGAGAAAAGTGAGAAACTGCAGACCAGCATTTAGAAGCACATGCTCTGTAGGCTAACTGCAATGTAGTGGATCCCTGTCCTCCCACTTGCCTCTTATACACTGAAACAATGAACAAGTCATTCTTTCTCAGTTTCTTCACAAGAGAGGAAAAGAACTAAATACACAATGCCTAGCATATAGTAAGAGCTCAATAAATGTTAACTAGTATGAATGGCATTAGTAATGATTTTAGCAGTACTTACAATTTTAATTTCATTGGATCTACTGAAAAGGTATTTAAGAAAGAAGTGTTTAGACAGGCAACATGGGCATATACACACACAGGAAGGAGTGCAAGTTAATGAATTTTATCTCCAATATACTTTATTTGGGACAAAGAATTATGTACAGCTGGAATTTCTAAATCCATACTTCATACATACACAAACAAGGAACCCATAGAACTTAGGAACAGGCAACTTACCTTTTGAGAATGAACTTATGGAATATTAAGACAATGAGTTAAGCCAGAACTACTCTCAACTGCAAATGTTCTCATTTCAGGAAAATATTGCCAAATTTAAAACTTTATTTGTAATAACCTAATTTTCATATGTATCATGAATAATTAGAGTATCAAATCTGCAGAAAATGATGTTACCATTCAAAACTAATTATTATTCCAGATCAAAGCCAGGGAATTTAATGTTTAATGTTACACTTAACGTGCCAGGATTAATATTTATAGAAAGATATTTAAAAACAAGCTGAGTGTGGTAGCACATGCCTCCAAACTCAGCACTTGGGAGGCTGATGCAGAAGGATCATCCCAAGTGTATGAGGCTAGCATGGGATACACAGTGAGTTCAAGGCCAGCCTGAACTACAGAGCAAGTCTTGACAAGAAAGAAAAGAAAAGAAGAAAAGAAGAAAGGGAAGGGGGCTAGAGAGATGGCTCAGTGGTCTAAAGCACCTACTTGGAACAAGCTCGGCAAAGCACAGGGACCGTGGTTTGATCCCCCAGCACCACATGCCAGCCAGCCGCGCCCCCTGGTGGGTTGAGCTGGCCACACACACACACACACACACACACACACACACAATAAATAAATGTAAAAAAAAAAAGAAGAAAGGGAGGGAGGGAGGGAGGAAAATTACTTGGGTAAATCAATTTCACAAAAATCCCTGTACATAAAAATCCCCGTACATAAAAATAATTTTTAGTTACATAATTAGCTTATCTAAATATGTCAAAATGTTGAACTGTTTAAAATAACACCCAAAAATAAGATACATTTGACACACACAACCACAAAAATCAAACTGATGGCACCACTTGCACTGGAGTGGACATTTCCCCTATCTCTGATGTGTAAATAATCGCTTGAGGTGTCTGGACGAAAACTTCTGGCCCTGAACAAGATGATACATAGGGTCAGGATAGGTCTTCATGAAGAGGTTTAATAGCTTTAATTCCCATATACTTAACCAAGAGCTTTAAAAACAGCAGCCTTGGAAAACTGCTATCCTAGAAGAAAGGAAGTTTTGCATTTGGATCTTGATACCATGTCATAAAACAAAGATGACTGCAGACATCAGAGATGTATATCCAAGAAACAAAAGAAAAGTCATAGAAGGCTGAGTGAGCTAGGAATATAGCTCAGTGGTAGAGCCCTTGTCTAGTATATGCAAGGCCCTCATTTGGATCCCTACTACCGAAAAATACAAATAATTAAAGAAAGAATTTTGGTTATCTCTTTCCTATTAAACAGAGAAGAAACTTTCTGCAGACTGAAATACTAAGAAATCTATTTGAAAGAGACAAACATGCCTGAAATCCAAACCTGTTAAACACTGAAGGGATCTGTAACTCATGGAAGCCTGTCCATAACAGATGTAAAAGTCTCTAAGATGTATCATTCACCCTCTCTTTATCAAGATCTCCAGTAATGGTACAATGGGTTAAACACTGTTATGGAAACTCTAAAAAAGGATTAGAAATATCTTACTACTATGTATTTTTTAATTTTACAATTGTACTCAACAACACAGTCAATAAATCACTTACTTGTAGTTTTTTCTTCTCTCTCTGAAGAGTCTGATAAGCTGTAACAAGCTAGAATAAAGTCATCAATAACATTAGTCATTAATAAATGCAAATAATTATTTAAATTTAAAATATCTTCATAAAAGTTTTTTAAAAACTAAAAAAATCCTTTCTAAACATTTCAGCATACAACCTAATTCAATGAATATCCATTAAAAGTAAATAACATAGAAAATATATTTCTACAAAGTAAAATATAATTTGACTATACAATACTGAATCCCCATATGACTTCATGTTAGGTAAAAACTCTCTAGATTTCAGTACCTAATTCATAGGTAAGGATGGAAGCAACTTACCTGTTATGATTTATATCTAGTTGTTACCCCAAAGCCTCAAGCATTCAATAGTTTAGGCTTTGAGGAGTAACTGGATCATGGGTATGATACTGGATTAACCTATTGTTTGGTTTATCATAGTTCTGGGCATAGATGACTGATTTACTTAAGAGGGAGGACCTTCCTGTGGGGGTGGGTAGCACCAATCAATAGGCTTATAGACTGGATGGAATAAAATAAGAAAAAAAGGAAGTCTTGTGCTTCCTGCGTGCCATGCCATGGACTACTGCTCCTCGGCTATGACTACTGCTATGTCACCTTACCTTGGAGTCAACTGACTATGGATTAGAAACTACAGTCTGTGAGCTAATGTAAACCTCTCCTACTTTAGCTTGTGAATGTCAGCTCTTTTGTCTCAGTAGTGAGAAAGTAATGAAGATATTACTTAAAAGCATAAGCGAACTCAAACTACATCATGCAGTCACAGACTATTATCAACTACCGTGAGTTTGCTAAAAACAGAAATTCTGAAGCTATACCCAAAATTTAACTGAGAATTGAATTACAGTGGGTAAAGACATATGAATCTGTATTTTAAAGGGCTCTCCAAGTAAGATTTGCGTTAGCCTACACTACACCAAATAAGTGATCTCTAAAAGTTGCTTCTGGTTATAGGATCTATTACTATAGCTCTGCAAATGTTCATAATCAATACATGGAAACTGTAAGTCCTAAGGAAAGAATTAACCTAATGCATTCCAGCACAACTTGATAAAAAAGTTATGGATTAACAACCTTTTTAAACATAAAAGTTCTAAGCATTATACATCCACAGACTAAACACATGGCTCCAGTGAATTACTGGAACCCTACTTAGAAGTACTAGTGTCTCTACAGAGTCAGGTGGAAGCACTTTGTATTATAAGGCTTGCTATTTTTCTTGGAAAGCTGTTGTATGTCCCCAAATGCCACTAGTGATGTTTGAAAAGTCAAGAGGCAGACAGCACAGGAAGATGAGACTAGCAACAGACTTAAGACTATAAAAACGGGCCAGGAATATAGCTCAGCAGTGTACTGCCTGCCTAGAAAGTACAAGGTCCTGAGTTTGATTCCCAGCACCAAAAAAAACCTTAAAGTCTGCCTAAGAGCAGGAGCCTGTTCTATTCTTATTACTAAAAGACCAAAAAGGATTATGATGCTCAAAAAACATGCACGGTGGGCAGGATAATAACTCGAGAACTACAATTTATTCCTAACACTAGTTGATCCTAGTTAATTACAATGGCAAGAAGTAGAGACAAAGCCTGTGACTCTTTGGTCCCTAATAAGTTGCTGGACTTAGAGGTAGCACAGAATAACTGAAACAAACAAATTTAGAATTAAATCCAGAATCTGTCAACAACTATGGGACCTTGAGCAAGTTATTTACAAATCTCTAATTTCATTTCTACAAAATAGAGGTAATTAACATCTACTTCATAAGTACAAAATTAAACTACAACACAAACTTCATAGCATCTGGCATACTTAAATACTTAATTTACTCTGCTGTGCAAGCTTCATATGAGTTAGTGAAAACAATGTAATTACAAGTAATAAAATTCAAGAACATTAATAACTCTGGTAGAGAAAACATTTTAAAATGTTTGGGGGGGCCAGGAAGATGGCTCAGTGGAATAAGCACTTCCCTGGCAAGCGCAAGGGCCTGAGTTCAATCCCTGATTCTGCCAAAAAAATAAAATAAAATAAAATATTTAGATGAAAAAAGTGTCTGATTCTACAAGCTCATCAGATCATATATGGCTTTAATACCCTGTATGCGTGCATCTCTGCATGCCAGCCTTCAGACGTTAGGTTGATAATTCCCATTTTGTCAAGACTTTATGCCTTTAAAAAAGTATTTTGCATATTTCATCAAGGTTTTTGTTTGGCTGTCAGGGCAAAACTACCCATATTACAGCCATAGTTTGAAACAGAAGTTTTGGCTAACATTCTATATTAAACCTAAATTTTGGTGTTCACTGCTTACAATTAACTGTGATATCAACTTACAAATTATGAGATGATAACCACTGCACATTAAGATAAACAAGAAGCCACAGAAATCTTTTCCACAAAAGGCTTTTTTTGTGGAAAAATTGCTCTAATTACACAAGACAGAAAAGATATCAAGAGAAAGTATACAATAAAATTAAGGCTGAACAAGAATATTAAGTTTCAAAAGGACTGAAGAAATAAATGGAATGGTACTACTCCCTCCCTAATACTGAACAAGGTGTGTAATCCTCAAAGGGTTTAAATCCATAAAAGACTCATTTTTGTTGTTGTTGTTGTTTGTTTGTTTTGTTTTTGGCAGAACCGGGGATTGAACTCAGGCCCTCGCATTTGCCAGGCAAGCACTTATTCTGAGCCATCTCCCCGGCCCCATTTTAGGCTACTGTGTAAATGTAGATACAATAAGAAGGAATCAAATCAGCCAGAAAACCAGACTACCTGACAAACAACCTAAGTCAGCACAAAGGGGACATGACTGGCAAAAGAGATCATTTTGGAGACAGTATTCAGAGGTGAATAAGGAAGGGACATACACAGGAAAAAGGATGACCTCTGTTCTGGATGTCCAAGTGACCTTACGAAAAGGGGTAGGAAAACAAAAGAAAGAGGCTAGAAATAAGAACCAGAAGGTTACGGACAAGTCTTCAACACTATACCAAGAGCCTTGCAAAGAGCCTCAGTACCATGGAAGGTCTAACTAAGTATCACTACAGCCTACCCACCATCAGTTAATAGGGTAACTAGGGAATCAGCAGTTTAGCCAACCATGGAAGTTAAGATCAACACAGAGGTGTGAATGATAGAACAAGGAAAGAAAATTTTGTACAGGCAAAATAGTCATCTCCTACCTCAGAATATTTTCCTCTGTAGCTACTCAAGCTTCTTTCCATTCTTCGCAGCCGCTGAATCAACTGCTCTTTGCTGAGACTGTCTGAATTTCCTAGGGAGTCTTCTGCCTCGCTCTCCATATCAGAGGGTGGGTCAAGGGTGGCAGCTGAATAGTCCAGGTCAAGTCGATTCAGGGACTCTCTGGAAGACGTTCGTACCAAAGACTCTTTTGAAGAAGATCGGAATAGAGATTCTTTTATCGGACTTCGAAACAAAGACTCCACAGAAGGCACCCGGAGCTGCAGCTTCTGTGCAAAACTCTGTGCATCACCTGACTGCAACCAAAACCCAATAGAATATGTGAGTTAAAACACACATTTTAAACTTCCATTATTCCCTATTACCAGCAATAATCTGCTAACAGCTCTAAAAACTTCAGTTTATATCCTCACATTTTCCCCAAAAAAACCAGACTATTTCTGAAGAAGCCCTGCACCAGAGTCAGAGGAGCAAGGTGTACATCTCAGGTCTGTCACCTGGCAGTACAATAACCTCCACTAAGTCACTTTCCTTTAGTTCACACATCTATAATACAGAAGGCATCCACTCTTCCCCTGCTGCCCCCACAAGTGTGTCATGAGGATTCATCTACCTAACTCTAAGATCCTTGAAGTCTGCATCACCACTATATACCCAGTGCCTAAAATGTAGGTACATGTTATAAAATTTGTGATCGGATCTCAGTGGACTTTATCAAAAGTCTTTTTTAAGTGATGATTCATTTTTTACTTATTTTTTGAGATATGATCTCTCCATGTTGTTTAGGCTGGCCTTGAACTCATTGCATAGTCCAGATGAGCCTCAAAATCATGGCAATCTTCCTGCCTCAGCCTTAAGCATGTTGGGATTGCAGGCATGGGCCACCATGCCCAGTCTGGGAGGTGATTCTTGATCTTTCTTCTCAACAACAACAAAAAAATGAAATGAGGGCAAAGAAATATGCAATGAGCCAATGGACATTGTTTTAAAAAAGAATGTGAGGGCAAGCTGACTAGTGATATACAACTCTGCCGTACTTATCATTCTGTCAAATGAGAATAAAAATAAGCACTATCAATTCATGGAGAACAGCTGAACAGCCTGTGCAAAGGACCCTCTGCACAGATTAGTAAACCTTACGTTAAAAATAGTGATAAGCAAAAACTGTTCTCTTCTTTAATGTAAATTAACAGTGAAAGATAACAATTCAACTAATCATTCTAAATGGGTTTACCTGGTTCAAGTCATAGTAGCCAATATTTTAAAAGTGTTTCCTAAAACTCATTCTCATTAGTGCAACTGTGCCTCAACCTGGAAAGATCTAAAAGACACCATGGGGAAGAGGAAGGCTTGGTGGTAGAGAGATGCTTGCCTAGTATGCACAAAGACCCTGGTAGGTTTGATCTCTAATGCCACCCAAAAAAAAAAAAGAAGAAGAAAGAGTGAAATGCTCAGGGGATACTAAGGTCATATGTAGTCAAGGACTACTGGAAAACAAAACTCTTCTCTTGAATACACAACATAAAAAATCTATAATTTTATTATGGGTTAAATATTGTAGTATATGGCAAGGTGTAAGTGATAATATGTAAGAGCACCTTCATAGGTATACAATTTATAACAGTAAAAATTTGGAAACAATCCAAATGTTCATCACTAGAGGACATATTATAAATAAAATGAAGAAGCTCAAGGTATACTATTACATGGGGAGAAAAAATCAAGTTATAAAACAGTATTTATATTGGGAACTCATTTTTACTTACATACAATTTTCGATTCATGTGTACTTTTCACAAATACCCTTAGAATGAAGTCATGAAGAACAGATAACAACAGGTTAGTAGTTTCTCTGAGCAATAGAATTTTTGGCGCATTTTATATTTTTCTGTGCTTTCTTTTCTTTTCACACTGTGTCAAGTTTTACCTTTATAATGAGGGAGCATGAAAGATGAGAGAAAAAACCTTCACACTCAAACACTTATAAGAATCAATTAGGGTAGGGGAGAGAGTTCAGTGGCATAAGCGCCTGCCTGGCACTCACAAGCCTGAGTTTGAACCCCAGTACTAAAAAGTAAACAAAGAAGTTTAAAAAAAAAAAAAAAAAAGAAT